TATATATATGTGTTTTTTTTAACAAAACTGCACAAAATTTGGTATAAAATTCTAGTAATATTTAAATCAGGTTTCTGATGTAAACAGGAAATATGTAGCAAATATGAAAGGAGAGAATCTTTAGTTTTCACAAAATAGTTCATTTTTACACGCTTGCAGTTCTGAAACTACTAGCGTTTTCTCTATAATTGAGCCATTGTTAGAAGTGGCAAGGCCTCTCCTTTAAATTGATTTTTGTTTTATGAAATCTCGTGGTTTTAATGAAGAGGTAATTTGTTTAATTCCTCGATCTGTCAATCTTAGAATAGCCTATTAACCTGTATTAAAAATATTATAAATTTTAACACCTATACTTCATCCATCGAGAATAGGGGGGCATCCGTCTTCATTCGACTGTGAATATACGCGTTCGATCTGCTTCAGTTTGTTTATATTTTCTGCCAATTCTCGCTGAACCGGACATAGCGTGACAATATAGCAGTACAGTTAGTGGAACAAATACAGCGACGCCGTTAACACAGCGGGGTGCAAAGATGGTGGCGCCCTACAATGCAGCGTGCCAACACTCCAGGGCCAGCTTAACACGTTTAATTCCAGGTCACGTGAAATTTTCTACGAGACCAACAGTTTCCCTTCAGACGACCAAAAACCAGTAGCATTTATTCGTATTTTATTTAACCCTTTACTTGGGTGTGTTTTGTTCACCCCAACATTCCAATTTCTAAATAAACTTCCAAACGAAGCACACGGATAGAAGTCAGTTCGCGAATCCAAAATCTGTACTCGTTATCCGCGATCAAAATTCGCCCAACTCGAAGCTGATCCTCGCCTAACGATCCTCGGGTTCAAGGAGGTAAAATAGGACGGTCTCCAGGGGCGGAAGAAGCGTCCCTGACCGGTGAAAACGGTTGAAAACAACAATGGCAGGCTTAGCGTACGTCCGTCCCTGAACCGAATATCCCACTTAAAATTAACCCTTCTATCATGTCCCGGATGCGCTAAGCGTTCGAACATGGCCGCTCGCGGGTTACGCGACAGCCCCCGTGCGTCTCGCGTTTCGCGATCGCTGCGGTACAAACGATAGGTGTACAAATTATTCTACGAAAAATCGTTACGTCTCGTCGCGCTCTCGCATCTGCGTCAATTACGGGCGGACTCGGGCCGTCCCCGAAGGGAGGCAACGCGGGGCCAACGAGGACCTCGGGATCTTGATGGTTTCGCGGAGCGGAGTCGACGTTACCGGGGTGTTCCGTGCGCGTCCAAGGTACCCGGGGCCAAGAGGAACCCGGGGGGAGTTGGAGAGAGGGCGAGGAGAGGAAACGAACGCTGTGCGAACGGGGACAGAGACGGAACGACGACGGGGTGGCCGGGAGAATGCTGGAAAGAGACCGGGGGACGCGGGAAAAGAGGGAAAAAAGACAGGTACGTGTAGAAGGAGAAATATACAGCGCGGAGGAAGACAGCAGCCAGAGGGATTCCGGGAGAAAAAGTGAGAACGAGAGATACGGTCGCAGGAGGCGGTGGAAGAGTAGGTGGAGGAGGAGTAGCAATCAATACAGAGCCACCAGAGCAAAACCATCCCTCGACTTCTCTCGCTCTCTATCCGTCTCTCTCCCACCCCTCGGTCGTATCTCTGTTCCACGCACGCTTCGTACCCCGTCTCTCTCTGGCTCTCTATGTTGCTTTCTATCGCTGACTCTCCATCTTTCTCTCCTCGCCACGGCGCCACCCTCTCTGCCACCCCTAACAGCCACGAATACGACGGTTATATGGACGCTATAGGGCATAGAGCGTCGCTAACAGGGACTTTCGTATACCCTTCCACCGCGTCGATGGTCCTGTGGTAACGCGCGCACACTTCCATCGGTACGTATCTCGGGTTACCTGCGATTATGAGCGATCTCGCCCGTGTGTACCCGTGTTGTTTGGACGCGGGCTCGCGTACGTGTGCGCGCGCGCGCGTGTGTCTCTATGCGTGTGCACGTGTCGTTACGCGAAATTCCAGCTCCGAGGCTCGTCGACGCGATCGGTTTTTTCGGCCGAACAGGGGAAACGCGACGGGGCTGGAGAGAGTCGCGACGGAAAGGTTCGATTTTCGGTGCTTTCGCCCCGAGACTGAGCTTGCGCCGTTCCGACGAACGTTGTGCATCGCGATTGGGAAAATCGTAAGGTTAGACGCGAACGTCCGATGGGCTCGCGAATTTTCCGATCGAGCCAACCACCGAATCCTTTCATCGCGACACTCTACATCCGATACATGGTTAACCTTTTATTTCAGAGGCTTAGAGATATATTAAAAATAATTTCGTGTTCGGCGATTCGTCAATTGTTCCCTTTGTATGCATCATCGAGATATTTCAGAAATTAGTTTCTATTTTGTTCTGAAACCGCCACAACGTTTGGATCTCAGAATTGTGTGAATAGAATGATTGGTCATGCAAATTTTGTATACACTAGAATTGATTTCACCCCTTGCGGTACAATGATGAGTCTGATTTGTGACAAGCTCTTAATGTCAAGTTTAACCATTACGAGGTTACTCATTTGGCATTAAGTTTTTTATATTAACACATTGTATCAACCATATATGGGTGACATGATTTCTCACTAAGGTATAAGATTAGATATTAAAAAAAATAGATCCAGACAGAAGTATTGAATTTTAACGGGTCTGTAATAATAAGTTCAATAACAAATACTGGGTATACTAATTTTTAATTGTCTAACAACGAAGTTTCGTTTCCCTGAGACAATTTAAAGGGTTTAGTTTGACAGTCAACGTGTTAAAAATCAACACATTTTAACATTCACAAGGTATTTGGTCGTTCTTTGTACAAACTAATTTAAACAAAATGAAATAGTAGAAGTTTGACAAATTATTTGAAATTAAATCGTACGTCAAGGGGTTAATTGAACAATCATTAGAAAGTTTAAAATTATCCTTGCAACGTATTGTAAATTAATTTATTTTGTTAAAATTTTAGAAGCAATAATGTAAACTGACTATGTAAAATTCACTCAATTCGGGTTTATTCCCGTTAATAAATGAATAATAGTAATAACTATTTTGGGTCGATGCTAGAAAGGAGCTATAGTCATAGATATACTGAAGGTGTAGCTCTAAGGCGATCAGTCAAGTACATTTTTCATCATATAAACTCGTTTAACACTCAGGTGGTGATATAAATAAATAAATTTCATTATAGTTTTGACCATAATTGCAATCGTTCCTAAACAAATAACTCTTGGGTAGAAAATGATCCGAAGAGCACCCTTTGCACTGCAAGAATTCATTTGATAGAAATAATTGGCTACTTGAATGTAACATTGCGATACCATTTTAAAGAATATTAAAATTGCCCCTTTTCCCAAAGAAATTTGTAAATGTTTGTAAATTCACAAGTTACGAGTTGTTATTATGTATGGCGCCATAGCAGCGTCATTGCAGTGCAAAGATTTAAAGATATATTATGTCGAGCATCGTGTTCTTTGAACAACTATAGCTTCCCTATTGTTAGGAATTAGTGCATAAGTATCTCCAAACTTTCGAAAGTTCTTTAAGAAAATTGTAAAAAGGAAAAATCGATTTTATCGAAGGCTCAGAGTAGAGCAACCCTTAACCAATTAACACTCATGCTCTTAGCATTGTTGATAGTTATAGATCGAAGCTACGATATCTTATTCTGAAACATATACGTTTCCTTACACAGTCCTTGCTCCTAACCATTGTTCGTTTCTTTAATTTTTGGAGCTTTCCAATATAAACATCTTCTCATAATTACATTCTTCATAATAATATTTGAAAGAAATAGCAAAAATAATGAGACATTAAAAGTGCTGAAAACAACAGCCGCTGAAGATGGACTCTTGCAAGAAACGAACTTGCGTTTGTGAGATTATTGTTGTGTTCTACCAAGTCAGAACCTCCGGGCAATAAACAGTAATCTTCATCGATTTGGACAATCGAAAATGAAATTGCTATCAATTTTGTACCCTCGCGAACCGAACATCCGATACGCGAGGACGGGAATCCTTGCTGACGAGGCGAGCTAACCGGGGCTAACAGTGTTGTTCGAATAATGCTACGTACTTGAACCGATAATTACGCGGTATAGTTCAATGCTATGCGATTCAGGGGCAAAGAGAAAGGTTGTAACAGTTGGACGTTTGCGATCCACGTGAACTTGGATCTGTGGAGACCGTGGACCTTGACTCTACCGACTCGCTAAACGCCTCTTATAATGAAACGAATGTGCAAACGTAGTTGCGTAAAGTCCCTTTCGATGCACGAACGCGGTGCAAATGTAATCTCGAAGTAAATCGAGCTGAGAAAGAAGGGGGAACCATTGAAACCTTCGATTTCGAATCGACCTTGTCTATCTGCATCCCCAATGCAATCGAGTTCGAACTTGATCGATCCTCGTTTGATTAATGAGGAAAAGGTTGTTTCCACCATTTCACCACTTTTCTAAGTTATCTAGCCCTCGAAGAGAGCTAGAAGTTAACCAAAACGTTGATTATTTTACGTGGAACTGGGAGAAAACGCCTGTAGTATGAAAATTTCGATAATCAGACTGTCAGTGCATTCTGGTCAAGGCTAGGAGTGGCGATAAAATCAATATACAGAGCGTTCCACCTGACTTGATCGCTTAAAATAACCCGCTTGTTTTTGACGATGGGAGAATACATCGAAGGGAAATAATATTCGAATAATTTTCTTCGGTCAGGCGGAATGTTCTGTACGCGAGCACGCGCAAGGCGACCTGGAAGCTATTCGAACCTACGGAACAACTTCCTAATTACCCGTCAGGGTGCACGCTGGCGCATAAAAATGAAAAAGGACGTAACTGTACTCGCGCAAGAACGACGCGCGTAATTAATCCCCTTTGTGAAAAAGCGTCTTCCTAATTACTCGTCGTTTAAAAATTGAAACTCACGCTCGGCGCGAGGGTCTGTAAACGACGATAGAAGTAGATTTCACGAAGACGTGAGTTACTTACGATTAATTACGAGGCCTCAACTCATAGTAAAAGCCGGCTCCGCGAGGCTCCATCGCACCTGAAACAGAGAAACACGCGGTCCCATTAATATTATCGTCGTCGAACGGTCTCGCGAGTTCCTATATCGGCGTACCAGGCTATTAGAATGCAAACACGCGACCACTAGGAAATCTCAGCCTCATTTGCATACAAATTAGACTGTTTTCCTCCTCGTTTATTACGTACTCCACTGCCGGAGTCCATCTTTGCGTATCGTTGACTCTCTTTCTTTTTCGACAAAAAAAATATATATATATTTGCAAGAAAGTAAGCCTCGAACGATGGCGATGTGCTCGAAAACCTTGGACGAAGACATCAATGAACGAAAGCCCACGCTCTCGGCTATCCGCTATTTAAATCGTACAAACTATAATAGCGCACGCCAATTAGCATCATTCATATTCATAGAGCATCCGTTGCACAGAGAATTACAGAGCTACTCGCGATAAATATTTATACGCAAGCGGCTCCACGGTGTGGGATAGGAGGGGTAAATATTTAATTTCAACGCGTTCGCGGCTTCTCCGTCTAAACGGAGAAACAAAGTTCCGGAAAAACACAATGCACATATCGAAACAGGGAAACGATTCCGACTTCCTTTGTCCCAACGGCAGCTATTCGATGCTGAGGGACTGCGAGCAGAATTTTGGCTACCTCGATCCAACCACGGGAGCTGGAACCTCAGGCATCCACGAAACGCTCGAGAACTTGAAAATTGAATTATTTCAATGTTTCGAATAATTTTTATCGTCGAATAATTTTATCGTCTTAAGAAACGAAAATAAAGAAATTGAATTGGGCTTAAAGAAGATTTGTTTATCGACTTTAACACTTTGTGCTGCCACGTTATTCATATGTGAAATCAGAAAAATTAATTCTCAAGTTTTGATGTCCAGGAAAATAAATTTACGAAACTTACAAAACTGAGAAACAAATTTTGGGTTATGTAGTTTGCAATGATCTAAAATCAAGGTTTTAATCTCGTAGGATATTATATAGAAATTTTGGAAAAATCTCAAATCTTTGATGGTATCTTGTGAGTGAAAATAAAGAAATTAAATTGCGCTAAAAGAAGATTTGTAATGCTTTGTACTGCCACGTCGTCCATATGTGAAATCAGAAAAATTAATTCTCAAGTTTTGATGTCCAGGAAAATAAATTTACGAAACTTACAAAACTGAGAAACAAATTTTAGGTAATGTAGATTACAATGATCTAAAATCAAGGTTTCAATCTCGCAGTATATTACACGGTTTTGATCTAGCAGTGAACGCAACAAGAACGATGATTTTTAACATCTCCATCCGAATAGCGAAACGGCCCAAAACGGCCACTTTCGTTAAAAAAGTGAAACACCGAAGGCGTCGAGCGTTCAAACGGTCCACTTAAAGCCCTTGTTCGGTCGAACGATGTATCATAAACGTGAAAATAAAATAAAATTATTGCCTTCTTTGGTACGTTTCGATTCAACAACTTCCACGAAACAATTCGTACGCGGTCCTCGTTCCGAGTTCCGTTTTGAGCTCGCGATTGGCCCCCGTACGATACAGGGGAACCCCCTGGAACCGTTTCGCCGCGATTCCCCATTCCTTTTCCTCGTTTTCTCCATCATCGACCGAACCGAAAGTAATACCGCAAACGAGTAAATTGATTCCGAGCTGGAAACGAGCGAGGGTAATATTTGTCGAAGCGCGGGGCTACGCCAGTCGTCACGACAAACGGGAAAACGTGGCAAAACGTCTGTATAGGCGTCCGTTAATACGAAATCAATATTATCGCCGGCTGTATCCGTCGACTACGTTTCGGCAGCCATTCCGAATTTTACTCGAACCGTTCTCGGGACCTCGAATTAACCCCTTCCGATCCAAATTAATTCTTCCGACGAAAAATGAATTTTCCCTAAAAACATTATCACGAATCTAAATACAAATTTATCGGAAATTAATTAAACAGTAAAGATAATATTTGAGATAAAATTTTTTAATTATTGTAGGTATTTTTCTATCCGAATAAAAATAAATATAAATATGCATGGTGTTATACGAAATTGAATTTTTATTTATACAGAAATCTCAATAAATAACAATTTCACTCTTTAATATTACTCTTGAAGACCATTACCTTTAATTATGCCCCAAAATATAATTTTTATTTTGGAATACAGTTGAATTTGTCATTTTCAATCGTCTTCAGAGTTTCTCATTTTCAGCTATTTAATTATAATTTCTTTTTCCATAAGTTATGAACTCCAGTTATTCTTATCCTTGTTTAATAATTCTGTAAAAATTCCCAGTAAACAGAGACATCCCGACGACGTGGACGACGCCAGAAGGAGTAATTCGGAAGTTTATGCGCGATTTTACGCTCGAGGTTAACGACGCCCATATGGAATCGTCGGGACAGAAAGGGTTAGAGCCGCGATAAAATTAATTTTCCAAAGGGCGCGAGCGACGGGTTCGTTCGAGCGAGATTAATTTTGTCCCGCTTTTGTCGCGCTCCGCTTTGCTCCGTCGTATTTTCGGTTCTCTTTTTTTTCCCACCGCCCCCATTTTGTCCTAGCGATTTTCAAAAATCTCATCTCCCACTGGCCGTTCGTTACGCGAACAAACGCGATTTTCCGTGGCGAGCGTAGTTTCAAGGAGAGAGGGAGACAGGGGGCGCATTGTGGTTATTACCAGAAACAACGCTGCGAGCCGATGTAAATGCGCAGACCATTAATTCCCTTTGTCCATGGCCGGCGAAATGAGTCTGATAAAGTATTGGTTTCGGGATACGGAAAGTAGAACAATGTTCCTACGATTTGTATTTTTTCCTTTTTTTTTTTTTCCACGGTCCAATCGCGCTGCGCGCACAGTCGCGCATTATCCACTGTGCATAATAGGCGCCAGTGCCTTGGGAACGCGAAACGTTCGGTTTATTTATTTCACGGAAAACGCTATTTACGATCACGCTGATACCGAATGGAAATTTACGTAGAAACGGTATAGTTTGCGCGGGAATAAAACTGTCATTATTATTTTAAATATGGCTGGGCCAGTCTTCGTGGTGGATCCGGTCCGGGTTAGGGACGCGTACAATTTTATTAGAGTAATCGATAACCATTAAAACCAACATTCGGTGAATTGATGCGTTACGTTTATTCGATCGAACGTGAAAATTTGTATCTGTTCGTTGTGAAATATTTCCTTCCAGAATTTATACGGACGAATGGAGGTGAGTCGCGTATAATTAATTTGTCCGAAATTTTTATCTGGATAGGAGTTTTTCCCATCTTTGGATTAGATGCGGTTTTTTTGTTTCATTAAGATCGTTTTAGTGCCTTTAATTCGAGTTAATCCAAAGTTATATTCTTATAATCAGTCTATCGTATACTTTTATTAAAAAGTTTGCGGAAAGAATGACAAAATTTTGCAATTTTAAATTTAAGCTTTCGCCATTTTGCCAATTTTCACCATAAACTAATTATTTTGCTACGAACGATAACAGAAAACCTTTTTGTCAACCTTGAGAGCTGCAATCACCTACGCTCAGTGTTTAAACACATGTTTGCTATGGGCATAATAAAAACACGAAAAGTCAATGAAAATGATTGAAAAATTTATTTTGTACCCCCAAAGGATAGTTAACTAAATAGCGAAAATAAATTACAGCATTAGATGTAACAATTAGTCAAAAAAAATTACTAAAGATGGCTAATTTTTGCAACGCACACACGAGACTGCCCCCCCTAAAAAAATAATTTATCTCAGAAATTCATCGTTTTGTCCGCGATAGCGATTCACGTGCGAGTCGTTACGGTTCGCCTAAACGTGCAAGCACGCGGAATGGCTGAAGGGGAACCTCCGTCGACCGCAATCTGGATATAATCCAAATTTTGCCGCACTAGCCGAATTACCAGGCTCGGGTCGCGCGGTGCCATCGCGCAACTGCATTGTGCGAAAGGGGGGTCTCTAATTTCTCGCGACGACAAGAAACCCCCGGGAATTCCGCGAACACATACGCGATTTGCACTCTCGAGAACCTTCAGCGGGGATCACGTTGGATTTCGCGCCACTTCGCGGAACACTGCGACCCCCCTCCGCCCCCCCGACAGCCACTTGCCGCTCGAATCGAAATCAACCGCGACACATCGACCGAAAGGTAAATCGCGTTAACACTACAGGGCGCTCTGGAATCCCTGCAACGAATTTCACTAGTCGAGTACCATGTGCACGAGAACCAATGGAAAATCCCCATAACGAGATGTCCCCAGCAGTTGATGGGACAGAAATATTTTTTTGGGGACCACGTTGTGCAAATTATTAAATATAATCATAATATAGACGTGTTGAGGATTCTAAAGGAACCTTAACACTTTAACGGCCGTTGTCACGTATACGTGACTTCGCGAGCTAGCAGACTTTGGCCACTGTCACGTGTGCGTGATCTATCAGTCACAAGGTTTAAAATGATATTTATGAAATTAAAAACAATTGATTTGCAAGGGGGAAAAATTAGAACTATGGTAAGACTAAGGCTATTACTCATTTGAAAGACAAAATCTGTAGCCTTGTTCGTGAATTGTTAATTATTTTGTCGACACTGTTCATTTTTGTTTCGATAATCACAATCGATTCAAGATCGCAATAATCGAGATCCTGCATTAATCGAGACACTATAAATCGTTTGAAATTCCTTACAATCATATTTTGAAAATGTTCATGTGTGTTCTGCTTTAGTCTATAAAGTTCACTTTAATCTGTTCAAACAGTGCTCATTCATAAAAATTCACGCAATTTTTAAATCATATAAATTCATCATTCGAGAAAATTAATGAAAATTTTTGGAGGCTGCGAGGAATATATGTGATGATTCTCCCTCCGATGTTTACTACGGCAACACCGTCGAATTATACGATCGAATAATTTTATTTAATCATTAATGTATGCAGTGACAATATTTCAATATTTATAAAAATAACACCCGTAATTGCTTGTTTGTTGAATGAAATTAAACTCGTCGATAGTCTCAACGAGTTC